TGTTGATGGATTTGGGGCACGAGAATCTGTTCGAGGTTTGAGTTTGTTGTTCGTCTGCATCCTTGAATTATTTCTTTTAGAATAATTTAACAAGCCTGCTTCCTCAGTCTTCGTCACTTGCTTCACATCTTCATACTGCTCACATATTTTCCGAATAGTTTGAAATTTCTGATCCGGACATTTTGGGTCGGATTCCACCGTTCAGAAGCGAGCTCGTCACACTGAGGATCCTCACCTGGTGAATGCGGAACGGATATGCAAACTTCGCCATCAGCATAGATGTTGGGGTGAAACATCTTAGTGAGAAACCGCATGGAGGGCGGACTATAGGGATAATCAGGTGGGAAGAAAAGACGAGCCTTGAAATGGCCTCCTTCATAGAGCGTCTTCGGGGGCCCGAATATTGCAACATCCCATCCAAATATGTTCTCAACTGAAGATATATTAACTTTGAACCCTCTACTGGGGTCGCATTGAGTTCCAACAACTCTTTCTGGCTTTCTTTAACAGCGCTACTCTGCGACTTTTTCGACGCCATGAATAGGTCACAGGTCAACAGATAGGATTCCGAGACTAACTGCGTTCGGTTTGGGTGGTTTTACTGGTGACAGTGCAAGTTCCATCTCCTGTAAGTTCTGCTCTGACAATCACCTTTGGTGTGTGGAAAATTGGCCGCAGTACGATTTAAACAAACACGAAACTGATTGACTGCACAGCATGGGCAATACACAAAGATATGGCGAATATGGCAGTCGAGGACCACACGGCTGCAGCCATTTGAAAGAGAGTCCGACGACGACAAATATCTTCACATTATATTGCCTCTCATCACTCATTATGGCGCACAGAATGGTGTGCAGCGATGCCATTCGCTTGCGCCTTACAATGCCACGAACAACGTTTTGATCGACGCCTAAGCTGCTCGTCAACAAGCCTCTGTACAGGAGTAGGGAACCAGAGATCAGTTAGGGTGGAAAATCCCACCCGGATGTAAACAGATGCCCAAGATTCGGGGGTACCTTGAATGGTTTAAAAAAGTGGGCAAAGGAAGGTCGCCCGGTCCTGAGCATGTATTGATTGGTAGAGAGCATTCAAAAACGAGAGGAAGCCCCTGTTTGCTAGCTGATGAGGAAATCGTAATCGAGGATAACCATAGTCTATAGTATCATATGGAAGAACGGTTGAAAAATGCACGGTCCGATTGCGGCTGTAGCTTTTGGTGAGATTGAGCAAAAAATATAATCAATGGTAAACAAACATTTCTATTTGTGTAGACCGCAACGAGATAGTCATGTGGTTTGTTCCAGACAAATTCCTTCCGAACCTGCGAGGACTGTGCCGTTCAATTTATGATTTTATAATGTGAATGCTGCCAGATTTAGCCAGGATAACACTTTAGGTAGCACTAAGTTGATCATTCTGCAAATGCAGACAGTGCGCTGGTAGATCTACCAATCTATTGGTAAGTGCACTTCACAGAACCTGATTCACACTGAGAAGTGAAAGTGCATTCGTAAAAAATGAGATTCAATTTCGGAACATCCAACAACTTTGAAAACCTGTCTACTGAGACTGCAATCGGACAACTCCCCTAACATTTAGTTGGAAATAACTATATAGAATGTGTAAAAAGGCTTGTAGTGGTTAACGGCCCTATGGAGTCTCTAGTGAACTGAACAAGTTACTGGTGTAAGCCAGATACAAAGTCACAAAGAGAAAAATACAAGTAAATCTTGACTCACAGTTCAAAATAGGAGATTCCGTAGTTCCGTATTCCGTTGAACCACCACACAAAGAATAGTTCTATCTTCCTGGTATCCCAGATCTCCGGTGATCGAAATATTATTCCACAAGCGTGAATATATTAGTCCAGCGTTTGTAGCTGAAATGTTTGTTCACGTTTAGTATTAGCAG